TTGAAAGATGCCTTCTGAGAGCCAGTCATTATGCTAGAGCTACAGACACACACACACACAGCTCTGTGTAGTGAAAGGTCTGGAAGCTGATACCTCTTGGGAGTGGAGGTGGGGACAGTGAGGTGAAGGACATTAACTGCGTACTTGATGTTCTAGAGCCCTGCCCTGCCCCCTGAAATGAGCATTGCACAGTGGTTACTGCCTGGGTTCAAATTTGAATCCGGGCACTACAGCTTACTAGCTGTAAGTTCTTTGGCCTCACTGCTTGAGGTGCTGACATTAGTGGTACCCACCTCAGGGTGGTTGTGAGGATTACAGTTTATAATACACCTGAAGTGTTCTGAGTACTACCTGGCTTTATAGTAAGCGCCCAATGAGCATTAGCCATTATTATTACATTATATAGCTTAAAAATCAAGAATTAGAGACAGTGGGGGGTGCCCATTGGACTGGGTGTTCCAGAGGTAACGGACTTCTGAAGTGCCACTAACCAGCAGGTGTTGTCGCTGTGTCTTCTCCTAGGTATTCGAGAGACAACTACAGCTGGCTGTGTCTCTAAAGAAGCCCTTGGTGATCCACTGCCGAGAAGCTGATGAAGATCTGCTAGACATCATGAAAAAATTTGTGCCCTCTGACTACAAGATCCATAGGTTAGAAGGCTGGAACTTCAGCGGGCAAATGAAAGAAACTTCCCTCTGTCTAGGGCGTTAGTTGGAAAAATGAAAACTCAGTGAGGAGAGAAATGATAATCTATCTTTACATCCTAGCTTTTCCAAAGAATTAAGTATTAGGTTGAACTGCATGAAATTTCTGATATTTGACCATTGCTTACAAAATGGCAATTCCATATGGTTCAACCTGAAGCCCTAAATCACTAGCGAGCAGGAAGGGCCTCTTGTGCCCCGCTTCTTGGGTGGCGGGCTGACATGGAATCTCAGTTCTCAGAAATGAGGACTACAGTTCCTGGGAGTGACTATGGGATCTGGTGGTTTAGCACACAGAGAACCTTCGAGGGTACTTGAAAAGACATTTTCTTTCCTTTTTTGAATTTGAAAGCTCCTTTTCCCCCGTTACTAATATCGGTAAAGTCTAGGATGTGTTTTATCTGAGTGGCATCTGGGGGTTAAGTTCAGTTTGATAAACTCTCTGTGAACTCCTACCACATGTACGTTCTAGGCATTGGCTTTTCTCTGGGGACACTTGGAGGAGCTGCCAGGAGACAGATGGGTCTCCTGGTGGCTTCTGTGTACTTGGGTGTGGGACTGAGGTGGGCCCAAGTGCTTAGGGAGCCGGAGCAAGGGCCTCTCAGGTCAGCCCAGTGAAGGGTCAGGAAGCGATGCCCGAGCTGGCTCCTTAGAGATGGGCGAGAGAGGGTTAGCTGAAAAGCAAGGAGTCCAGAACCCAACTAGGTCTTATCAGATGGGGGCAGGAGTGGGAAAGATGGGGGATGGGGCCGCCAGGCCTTTTGGGTGCCGAAGCAGAGCGAGTGAAGCCTCCAACCCCTGGCCGTGGAGTGCGCACGCCGATGAGGCAGTCCCTCAGCTCCTCTGGGTTGGCTGGCTTCTCATTGCTTCATTTTGAGCTGCCTTTAAAGGAAATCAAATGGTGGCAGGTAGACCAGGGCTGAGATGACCCAACATGGTGTGGCTAGAGGAAGCCCTGAATTTCTAGATTGGTTAACCATATATATTGCACCAAGAACATGAACAGATATCAAATTAAGAGAAGAAAATTCACCAATAGTCCCACTCCCTAGTATTTTCATTTTTTATTTCCTTCCACTTCATTTGATTACATCGGTACGTTTTACGTGCTGTAGTCCTCTCAGAGGGGCTACAGTTTTTCATTCTGCTTCTTTTTTTGTGTTATAAGCACACCCTGCCCCTGTACTGTTGCTGTGTACTCTTTGTGGTGGTCGTCCCGAGTGACTGTAGTAGTCTGCAGTGTGAGAGGGGGTTGCCGAGTGTCGCTCACCCAGCGTCACCTTGGCTCTTACTGTGTTGGAGCCAGCTCTTGACTTGTTTACTGTGGAGCTGTCCCTTGGAGGCAGTCTCTCTATATCTGGGAGTTATTTAAAAGCCCCTCTAGATGTAGAAGGGCTTGGAGTTGCTGCAGAGGGGACTGTGAGCGAGCCCTGACCTGGAGTTCTCTCCTCTAGGCATTGCTTCACCGGCAGCTATCCGGTCATTGAGCCCCTGTTGAAGTACTTTCCCAACATGTCTGTGGGCTTCACGGCAGTCCTGACATACTCCTCTGCCTGGGAGGCCCGGGATGCTCTGAAACAGATCCCACTGGACAGAATCATTGTGGAAACTGACGCTCCCTACTTCCTTCCTCGCCAGGTAGGGGTGTCTTCAGGCTGAGTTGAGGCCCAGAGGGGAGAAGATGGGGAGGTGGGTGGTCACCCTTACAAGGTTGGCAGGGCCAGAGCCCCAGTGACTTCCAAGTCCCACCCTGGGCTATGTAGATATCTCCTCATTGTTGCTCTGCAGAACCAAAAGTTTAGGGAGCTGAGAAGCTGAAGGGTAACCACTCTCTTCCAGGCAGTGCAAAGCCCTACCCTGTAGAGGGTAGTCCAAGGAAGCGTGGGACCCTGCTCACCCAGAGCCCCCCATGACTAGGACTCTCCCTGCACCTGCAGGTAAAGGGGTCTCTACAGGGCAGCCCCAAAGAGGTCCTTGCTGGGGAAGGGACAGGGAGGGAATTCTATATTATGGCTGTGCACAGAAGACACAGTGATGTTATGAATGCTTGATATCTTCCAGGTTCCCAAAAGCCTTTGCCAGTATGCCCACCCGGGCCTGGCCTTGCATACAGTTCGCGAGATTGCCAGGGTCAAAGATCAGCCGCTCTCCCGCACCTTGGCCACCTTGCGTGAGAACACCAGTCGCCTCTACAATCTTTAAGCAGAAAGGGCACAATCAGGAGTCTCCTGGAAAAGGTCATAAAATTCCCATTTTATGTTTTTAAGAAATCAGGACAAATTTTTTGTTGCATTTTCTTAATGTAAAGCATGTAAACCTAGGGTGAGCATGAAGGTTGATTTGTCTTGAGTGAACTTGGTTTGGAACCTTCTTCCTTTTCTCTTCAAACCCTCTAGGGTCACCAGCGGCCTGACATAACACAGGCTGGGTTTGAACTCTGCCTGTGCCCCAGGTCAAGGATGTGTTTGGAGAGCCCGTTGGAACAGAGAAAACCAGGACAGGATGTTTCCTCGAAACCTCATCATAAGGCTTCAGCTTCTGGCTGCTGGGTGGGGTGGGTGGAGTGGATGTGGGATGAGGGTGTCACTGCCCCAGATAGCATCAGGGTTTGGCCACCCAGCCAAAATACTCCAGGGTAGGCAGTGAAGAAGAAGAGTTTGCCAGTCCAAGTCCTGTTCTCTGCAGCCTGTATTTTTGAGCAGTCTGTGAATAAAGCCGCCCTCCTCCTCGGCTAAGCACATGTGGGTGTGTAACTCAGTTCCTGGTTCTCAGTTCTAAAAATGAACTCCCAAGTGGGAAATCTCTTGGGAAACTCACTGGACACCTGTCTCAGAGGTTTATTTTCTTGCAACCAGTGAAAGTGAAGTCATCCTCCTTTCTTGGGTAACTCTTCAATTTGGCTGTCACTGTTCCGGTGTCCACTCCAGCATCAGCACAGGTGGAGGGACTTTGGCTACTGGTCTCATTGGTCCTGCTGCCATCAGCGTGGAGGTGTGCAGAGGGGCACTCGTTGTCCGTGGAAGTCCTGGCTGATGGAGATCCAGGACAGCCTGGGGGACTCAAGGAAGAGGCCTTCTTGGGGAAGAGGACCCCAAAGGAGGTAGTCCCTGCTTACTTATGTCCCCAGGACACTTTTTGGGTGTGTTAAATGGATAAAGGCTCAGTTTACAGCAGAAGCTACCTGCTAGTTTGGTGTCAGGGGTCCCAGCCTCCCTTTTTGCCCTCTTCTCTGAAACACTTGACCAAAAATAATCCTTCTGTTTCACCCATGTCTCAGCCCCTGTATGTCCCACCCAGGTTGAGAGGTCAATCAGTTTCAGTCTCCAAATCTCTGCTCGGGCAGCTCAGCCATGTTATATTGCCTATGCAGAGCAAGCAGGCCTGGTGTCTATAAATATATCAGTCCCTCTCCTCCTCCTTCCGGGTGCCTCCCCTGCCTTTGCCTCTTCTGTGTCCTGTCTTTCTCTGTGTTTTAGAAGTGAGAGACTCTCCTTCAACTTTTGAGCAACTGTGTCATCCCACGTTCTAAGCTCTGCTCCGCTCCCTGCGGGTGCCTTGTAAAGGTATACTCATTACAGGCCCTAGAGATTATAATGGCCAAGGGTTAAGTGTGAGGAGGCTCTACACTTTGTTTATAAAGGATCCTTCACCCTCATCTCCTGCAGTGAGACAAATAGGCCACCTGGAGTCCCTTAGACATGTGTTTCTTGGAGGCTTAAATTGTAAAATCCATCACTTATGGTGGATTCCTCTAGGTGTATTGGAAGCACATTTGAGCCTTGTAAGCTAAAATAGAATGGATTTAATGTTTCATATATGGTATTTCCTTCTTGCCCTGGTACACAAGTAACTGGCCTGGGAAGTAGGCCTTGGTTCACTGTCCATCTTCCATGGATCAGCTGTGCTGTTATGTTGCCTGTGCCTCAAATTTGCCCATGTGGGGAATCAGGGGGACCTTGGTCTCCTACTTGGAAGATTTGGGGGGCTGCTAAGTACATCAAAGTGCTTTATTGTCACCCAAGTGAACTGCACCATAGCCATCTCCTCTACAGCAAGCCCTTTAAGTCAATACTGCCTCCACGTGAAACCAACTAACCCTGCATTAGAGGATGAAAAGACTAGATGAAGGTCTCCGAGCCTATGCAGTCCACCTGCCAAGGAAAAGCACAAGGTGCTATCTACTTTTCTCTCTAGGATTTAGGATTATCATTTATGTGCTTTTACACAGTGAAACCTTACCCGTGTGGGCGTGAATGCTGGTCGGCATTGTTTTTGATTCAGTTTTTTTGGATGGCTGACTTGATTGTTTTTGCTGTGCTGCTGGAATGCCTCTGTATTATTTTCCCCTGTTTGGCCATCTTTTTCTGTAAATAAAGTGATGGATTCTCTAGCCAATTCCTAGGCTCTCTGTGTTTGTGTAGATTTCTCTGAGTGATGCAATGGTTTAGTCTGGTTGTTGGCCAGCTTTGTAACCTGAGAATCCAAATATCTGGAGACTTTCTCAAGTATATGTGTGTCTTTCTCCATAAAAATCATATATAAGACTATATGATACCTTCTTAAAAGTTCTGCCGTGGAACATTAACTCATGTTAATGCCTGGGAACTCAGATGCACTGCTTCTTCTTAACCTTTGAAAAGTACATAGATACCTTCTTTTCTTTTTTTGTTTCTAGAGCAAGGCAGTAGGAGGAAGAAAAATCTAGTCCCCGGGGGCGTTGATGAATCAGTTGTACTGTGGGCTTTGGACTGAACTCCTGATGCCTCTGGGTAAACTTTGAAGGAAATTCTGTTTTGCTACTTGGAGTCCTCTTATTTTGTACTAAGGTATTCCTGAACACAAGTGCACAAGCCAAAAAGTAAACCTACATGTAAAAAGGAAGGCTCTTGTCCAAGAATGCTAAACAAATTCATAATCTCTTGCTGCCTCATTTTTGGGTGCAGTCATTGATTACGTATTTTCAGCATGTTCCTAACTTTGTCTCAGTTCCTTCCAGTTGAACAAATAATTGACTTCCTTGGGGATAGTCTATTGTGGCTGAAGATTTGCTCTTGGCGTTTCTGGTGTTTCCATCTTCTCTCTGTATTAAGGTTGGGACTGATACTAATTATTTACTGTCAGCACATTCATTTTTATAAAATAAGGGCAAATAGCCACTGGAATATACAGTGATTGAACAAGCAAACTGTCAAAGATGGTGATTGGTGGCCAGCCAGTCCCTTGCCTTTCATGGTCACTGTGAATGCTCATTTGTCCATGATGTTGGAAAGTGTGTTCAGAGTAAGGAAGGTAGCTCAGTGTAGGTGTTTCAACTCTTCTGTCTGCGCGCCGTTGCAGAATTTCTGAGCACCCGCCTGTAAGTGTATAATAAGTTAAATACATAATGCTATTATACAACACAAAGTAGAAGTTTTTCATAAGGAGAACCTTTTTCCTCCAGCAGATATCTTGCTCACCCCAGAGGTACATAACCCCACTTCAGAAACCCTTAAGTTAGTGGTATAACACGTGAAGCAGTAGGTTTAAGAAAGCTGACATAGGAACCTGTTTGAAATGATACATTTTCTCAAGGGTGTCCCTGAACCATTTCCCTTGATAAGTTTTATTTCTGCTGATTGTTGACTTGAAATTGGCCTCACCCCACCACCAGGTTCACCCAGTGCATTATGAAGGAAAATCAAAAATTAAAAAAAAAAAAAACAGCCAGAAATCCCGTGCATCCTAGGCAGTAGGGCAAAGGAAGCAACATTGAGAGGTAGTAGAATATGTTGGAGAAAGCATGCACCTGCGTGCTACAGCTCTGCTAATGTGTTTGCCGTGTACTTGCCGTGTGACCTTGGGAAAGTTACTTAATTTCTCTGAACTTTAGTTTTCTTCCTTGTCTGTAGGCTTGCTGTAGAAATTAGCTGAAATTACATTAATCTATACAAGTATTTAGAACAGTGCCTGGTACACAGCAGGAGTGCAGTAAATGGTGGCTGTTACAAGAATTGAGTGCCACTATGTACCAGGCCCTGTGCCAGCTACTCTCCTGTGAGATAGTGTGTTCAGTCTTGACAGTTACCCAGCGAGGTGTAGGTATTTTACATGTGAGGAGCCCGGGAAATTCAGTATCTTAGTCTGGATCACACAGTTGGTATTCAAATTCAGTTCTGAAACCAAAGCCCATAGCTTTGCACCACACCTTGTTGCCTGGCACAGATGAGAGTGCCCAGACCAAAGTGGGTGTTCAGTATCTGTTGCATGAATGACCTGGGCAAGGGGGAGAGAATGCCTGTGAGTCCTTTGGGAGAGAAGTAAATTCTTGTCTTTGGTGGGGAAGCATCAGGTGACCAGCATCGGTCCAGGCTCTGGTACCTATCCTCCCCACAACCAATCAGTGGATTCTTTTTCTCCAGGTCAGGAGCTGGTTTCCGGGGCCACTGTGACCACACCTGGGCCTTGGATGCTCTTCTGTAGCTGTTGAGAAGAGGGCTGTGCGCGTGGTTAGTGATGATCAGGGTTGCGCCCCTACTAAGTGACAGCTGAGATACGGTTAAGTTCCAGGACAAGTGTGTTGATCCCTGCATACGCTTGTGCTGGGTGCCTGGGGAGGGAGGGTGCTGGCTATCTAGAGAAGCAGAGGAAATTCACTTCTACTTCCTTTCTCTCTTTTCCCTTGCTTTACCTACTCTTCAATACCTTAAATTCTTTTAGTGATGACAAAATCTTTCCATCCATGGTTATTATTGAGGCTTAGATGCAGGTGCTTTTGGGAGCAAGGACAGTGAACTAAGTCACTATATATATAGTCATAAAGTCAGGTATCTATATAGTTGTCTTAGAAATGGAATTTGTATATATGTGTGGTGTCTGCCCAAGGGACAGACATGGAGTTCACAGAGCTGCACTAGAGAGATTGGGGGAAGCTAAGCAAGCAAATGGGGCACTTTTTCATGTGTTCCCAGCTTTGTCCAGGACCCCACCTGGCCAGATCTGAATTGTCTTAAGAGTTTTATGATAGCCAACACCTGTTCCATGCAAGGCGGAGCCGCCTGGCTCTGCAGTGTGCTGTGCTGCCACTTAGTAGCCTGGGGATCTTGTTAAATTTACATCCTGATAGAGTAGGGCTGGGGCCCAGGGTTCTGCACTTCCGAGACGTTCCGCAGACCTCACACAGTTCCTGCATGAGAGATGGCAGTTGGGTTTTGGTGAGCATGCCGAGTCTCATCAGTGGTCAGCGCTGTGCATGGTAGGTGGCCAGAGTTTTACTAGAGGAGACGCTGGGCTCCTGGAGCCCTCTGTGATAGGGTTTTCCGGAGTGTGGACATTACCCCACCTCTGCATCTGCAGAGGGTTTCCTCCATGTTTAATAAGTGTTCAGATGTGTGAATTGGCAGGTTAGTAGTGCCTATGACTGGGGCCTCCCTGCTCTTTGGCTTTCCCTCCCCCCAGTGATGTGTCCCGTCCATCATCACCGGCACTCAGAAACCAGTGTTAATCCACACGTTTACACTAAGGGGGACATGACTGGCACTCCTAGGAAGACTGGTGTCTTGACTGGAATTACGTTGTGAAATTTAAGGATCAAGGCTCATCTCACCTGTGAGCTGGAGATGGGGAAGTGTTCTGGGATACCTGTGTCGTATCAGTGAAGCAATCGAGACAATGGCCAGCCTTGCCCACGTGAGGTGCCTGCTTTGCCAGGCCTTTTCAGTAGTGGACCGGGAGGAAAGAAGGTGGTTATTTCAACCCTGGCTAACAGTGGCCTAGAGCTATTGTTGGGCACCTCACTTATGTCTCCAAATTTATTCTTTGGCATTCTCTTCTTCCTCTTGTTGATCTTGGGTGTATATTGGCTCTGATAATGTCACCTGGAGTTTCTTTGTCCACACAGCCCTTGCTGGTTGTTAATAAACTATCAATGCAGCCTTGCGCTCAGGAAGCTGATATTTCAAGGAACTGTGTCTTTGTACTTCCTCTCTTCTCGTTTCCCTCTTTCCCCCCTTTCTCTCTTCCTCTTCCTCCTCAAGAAACCTTCTGTTGTACATATAATACAATACACACAGGAAATAGTTAATCTGCTTGAATGAGTTGGTTCACTTTGGTTTTCTAAGCATGCATACCTGCCTTGCTACATGTCTCTTCCCACTGACCATAGACCAAGAATTGTTTTATTTATTTGTTTTTTTGATTTTTTCCAAGTGAAATGTGAAATTTTCCTCTTTGGTTAAATAAATTCCCATTTTGAGAATTCAGCATACAGTTTGAACATTTATTTTCCTCCTGAGCTAGTACAGCAGTACTGGGAGTTGTTGCAGAAGCGATCTAAAAGCCAGATGAGAGCTTCCAAGCCTGGGAGGACAACAGGGAGGTGAGCCAGTCTTGTAGGTGATCATCTGTCAGCGGGGACCTCTGAAAAGCAAGAGGTCAAATCAATTCTGGGTCCACCATCCTGCCAGTGCCATCGAAGGTGGCTTTGCTTCCACGATGGTGACTTTGGAGGTGCCAGGTTATAATGGGGGTAGGGGGAAGGTTGGGGAAAGCATGGGCCTTGGAGTCAGAGAGTGGACTGTTGTGACCTTGGGCATACAGCACAGCTCTTGTTTCCTTATCTGTGTAGCATTCTGGGTGCTGCCCCCAGCTACCCAGGGTTGGGGAGTGGAGGGGGTCGCCATGTTAGTGAGGACAGTGCTCTGCAGGTTGTAGTGTGAGCTTCCAAGAGGCAGGTATTTCTGTCACCTCAATCCAGGAGCAAGCTGGCTGGTTTCATTTCTTTTCTTTCTTTTTTTTTTTTTTTTTACAAGACAGGGCATTCAAAACAAAACCAAAAATCCTTTGCTTAACTTACTGTGGAGCCTGTTCTGAATGCTATTGTGGCAATGATTCCTTTTGTTTGTGGAGTAAAGTTATACATTAAAGGTGTTTTAACATCAGTGACTTTATACTCTCACAATAGTGTTAGCTCCGTTTTGCAGTTACGAAAATTGGGGTTCAACTGGGCCTGAAAGCTAGTTAATGTACTAGGTTTTGGAACCTAGTGTCCTTTGAACACAGAGACTTTATGCTCACCAATACCAGCCCCACCCCTGTCCTACAGATATCTGCGAAAGAGGAATTGGAAGCTCTTTCTGAGAGGCAGGGGCTGGGGAAAAAAATCGCCCATGTTTGAGACTCCCAAGGAAACTGAATTCACCTGACCCAGGCTAGGACTTACCTTTGGCCTCTTCCCACAGGATGTCCTCAAGAAACTTCCCCAGGGCCTGGCTGTGCTGCTGGTACTGAGCCCCTGAGAGCTTGATTCCAACATCGAAGGGGGCGTTGAACTAGGAGGTGGGACAGGGAGGACGCAAGAGGTGTCAGACATCACACACCCCTATCACAAAGGAGGCTCTGGACTCTCCCACTCTCTCTTCAAAGGGGTAGCGACAGTCCCAATCTCAGCCGGGTTTTACTCTGCCTTCTTAGGCCCATGTCTTACCTCCCCTCTCACTATTTTTTTTTTTTTTTTTTTTTAGACAGAGTCTTGCTGTGTTGCCCAGGCTGGAGCGAAGTGGCGTGAACTCCTGGGCTCAAGTGATCCTCCCGCCTTGGCCTTTCAAACTGCTGAGAGTGTAGGCATGAGGCACCGTGCCCAGCCCCCTCTCACCATCTTTAGGATACACCCACCTTGCAGTCTCATTCCTTGTAGCCTAGCCTTAGCCCTTAGGGGATTGCTGATAAAAGCTGTGGAGTCCCCTAGTATAAGTTTTTTCTCCCTTGCAATTTTGAAGACAAAAGGTTGAATCACCAATGGTAGCAGGCCCTGGCGGGGAGGTTTTTGGGGGGTGGTGGCTCTACCTGGCATACAGAGCAGTAGCCTGTGACCGTTTCTCCCCGTCCTCTGCCCCTACCTCTTTTTACTTTTTTGTTTGTTTTTCCTCTCCCCTTTCTCCTTTTCTAGGTATTTTTCCTCTTATATACATAGGCCTTTCCTCGTTCTGTGGAAAATCAAAAGGAAGCTGACTTTTTCCTAGGAAGATGCTCTGGGCCAAGTCCTTCCTTTCTGTGCCTCTGTTTCTTCCCTCCTACAGGGAGCGCCTGTCTTTCCTGTTTTCCAGGCATCCTCTGGATGATTCACTGGAGCGCAGAGTTTTGGGTAAACGGGGAGAGCTCTGCCGCCTCATCACAGGTTTTTCTCTCCTCAAGAGCAGAGACCATCTCTGTTTTGCCAGTAGCTACGTCAGTGCCTGGCTGTGTTGGTCACTGAGATGTCTGAGCAGTCAGCTGGAAGGCAGCTCTAGGTCGTCTGGTCCTCACAGCAGAAGCCCAGGGAGCTGGTGGCTAAGGACTAAATCCACCCAGCCTGGAACCCCTTTCAGTCCCATTGCGGCAACAGCGTGTCCTCGGCGCCTCCCCACGATTCCTATTTTACAGATGAGGAAACATCGCGAAGACATTCTAAGACAACAGATAGCGGCTCGCTCCCTTTCTCAAGTTTACCCCCTGCCCTTATCTCTACTGTGAAGGCGGAGTGCAGTGGGGATGACAGGCTGGATTATTTTGGGGAGCTTGGAGCCTTCCGATTCCTGTCTTAAGTAAGTGCGTGCTTTTCTCCTTCCACCCCCCGAGGCCGGAGGAAACAGCGAGCGCCCATCTGGGGAACTGCTGGGCCGCCGGGGCAAGTGAAAGGCAGCGTGGGGAGGGCTGGACAGGAGACTGGCCTTCGTGTGACGTGCAAAAGCCTCTTCCCTCTTGGCCTCAGTCCAGTGGGATGGGACTTGGTCTCCAAACTCTTCTGCTCTGAAACTGGATTTTGGGGGAAAACGTTTGGAGGGAAGTGGGGCCTGAAATAAGAGACGGGGCCCTGGGAGGGTTTTGCTGGCTACCTCACCCCATCTCTGCCAGCCCCAGCACCTCCTAGGCCTTTCAGATGCTGGTTCCAGTGGAGGCAGCGTGGGTCATTTCTTCCAAGTTTAGCTCTCGTGGAAACTGGAAGCTTCCCGCTACCCCAGCCCTGTCTTGCACCATCAGCCGCCCCCATCTGGGCTAGTGTGGAGCCCGTCTGGCAGGGATGCCTGCCCACCGCTGTAGCTGGCGGTCACCAGGGCGGTGCCTGGCGTAGGTGTAAAGATTTGCAGGCCATGCAGATGGTACCTAGCGAGGTGGGGGAGGAAGGGTCTGAGAAGACCTTTAGGCTCCGATGAGTGTCAGAGGGCAGGGGTCTGGGGAGCTTGAGGTTGGCATTCATGCTTGACCAGAGGAGGGGCCAGTACATAGGTACAGGGAGGCCAAGGGGGACACACTTCAGCTGTTTCTCAGGGAGGAAGAGCCCACTCCTGGGCCACCGTGCACTCTGTTCACCAGACCAGTGAGGAGGAGGACAGGGCTTGGGGGCTAGAGTCAGCCCTGACCTGGCGCCCCATCTATGCCACACACTGGCTGTGGTACCGCGGGCAAGTGAGCTCACCTCTCTGAACTTCTGCTCCTTGTCTATAAAATGGTAATAATATCACCAGCCCTGCTTACCTCACAGGTTGTTGTAGAGATTAGATGATCCGTAATAAGGGTGGAATGGTTAGAGCTGAAATTGCTATACACAAGCACAGCTTATAGTAATTGCCATTAGTAAGTACTGCCCAGGGGAATCCTGGTTTAGCTGTACAAAGGTGTCACTTGTAGAAACCATCCCCTGAACCACAGCCAACCTTTCAGGAAGGTCACGTGGACAACCCTGTAAGATACCTTTACTTCCTCCCAATCCTTGAGTTGTCTCTAAACTTGCTCCTTGCCCCATGCAAGATTTGTCAGAGCAAAAATCAGTCTGATCCGCCCCCTCGTGCACAAGGGCGCTGAGTGCTGGCGGCAGCTCGCCAGGCCGGAGTTCCACCTCAAAGCACTGACGCCCCAGAGTAAAAGCTTTCTGCAGAGAAACATCTTCAGTCTCTGGCTGTTTATTCCTGGATGTCTTTGTCACTGCTGCCTTTGAAATCACCTGGAGTCTGCTAGCGCCCTCTCTCCTCGGCCCGTGGCTCCCGCACCCCATTCTGTTGAGGCAGAGTTAATTCTCCCGGTTTTCTCTTAATGGGCAAAATAGAGCCCAGAGCTCAGCTATTTTAGTGCTGTTTTATAACCTTGAGTAGTTTGTAGATGGGTCCCTGTTCATAGCCATCTGCCTGCCCTCCTTCCCTCCTACCCCATTCCCTTAACTGCCCCAAAAGCATAAAATCGCAGAGGTACTGACCCGGATTTCCAGTTCATCCTCTGCCCCTTCTGCCTGGCTTCCGTCTTCCGGGCGGAGCCAGCCTTCTAGAGCTCGGGGCAGTTTGGCTGGTGGCTTCTTAGACTCCTTTCTCTGCTGGAAAGGGGAGATGTTCTCTTTAGGACCCTAAGCCCCCATATACTTGTAGAGACAGAGTGAGGTTAGACCCAGAGTCCCCCTTTGTGCTCTAGGAGAAGGCTGAAGCCCAGAGAGGTTGAGCCACTGTCACATAGCTGGTTGCTAAGTGGCAGGGCTGGAACAAGATACCGCAGTAGTACGTACGGTTTTGTGGGGAGAGGTCTCACCTGGATCTTCTGATGTTCGGGGCTCAGGAAGCTGGAGCCTGCTGTGGCCACGTCTACCCAGAGCACACTGAGGAGCAGGAGGCTGCAGATGGTCCCCAGGGAGAGCATGGCTGCCGCTGGGTTGGGGACAGACGGGCCTGGGGGAGAGAAGATCTCCAGGCAGCATGCCTCAGTCTCTTCAATTTGCCTCAGAATTCGCTGGGTAGAAGCCCAGCAGACAGGGTGAGGGGTCGACCTGGGTCATGACTGCTGAATAGAGAAGAGCTCCCCTCTGCCCCCTTCTCCATTGTGGAAGAGAATCGAAGGACGTGTGTCCTGTCTTTGCCAAGGCCATTCAGGGCACGATGCTTGGCAGTGGGACTTGATGTGGTGGGGGTTGGGGTATCCGCCCCAGTGTCATTTGCCCAGGCCCTGAGGAGCTTGTGGCAAGTTTTTAAACATGGGATGGTGGAGCTGAACCAGCAAGGTCCCTTGGGGGGACATGGGGTATTGGGAGCAGCTCCTAAGCCAAGCTTTGTCGCTGAGCAGCCTGAGTAACCTAGGTTGTCCAGCGTCCCCTTTGTTCAGATGGGCCTGCTGAGACCCAGAGGAGTTGAACGGCCAGCAGTCACACGGTGGGTTAAACCCGTGAGCAAACGCACATGCCAAGAGTAGAGAGAGTGCCTACCTGGGATTCCTGGCAGAGGTGGTGCCCGGTGGCTGTCTGGTCCTTATATAGGAAGCCTGGTGTTTGTTTTAAACCAGCAGTTCCATCTCAGAGGTGGCCTGGCTTCCGTGGGGCTGATGTACATTCCTTGGGAACTAGAAATGTTTGTGCCCTCTGGGTAGAAATCAACAGTGGAGGTCAAATGCCCTGAGAGATTGCTGGGTTGTCTGGGGATGATGCATCTGCTCCAGCTGTCCCTGGACGGCAGTGTAGGGAGGTGCCCAAGTGGGCATGGCCCTGGTTTAGGTGGGAGGGAGGAGAGTGGGTCTGGGTCTGGCTTTGCTGCTGTGTGATCTCAGCTTAGCCCCCCTTTCTCCCTCTCACCTGTTGTCACTAGGTGGTCTCCAAGACCTTTCCAGTCCTGGTGCTCCGTTGTTTTCCGTGGACTGGTGCTGGTCTGGCTTCACAAACCTCTGGAGCACACTGGGAGCCGGGTTCACGTGATTCTCCCACCTCCCCAGGGAGGAAGGTCCCATTTCGCAGATGAGGAATGTGCGGGAGGTGTGGTAGCACGTGCTCCTAACTGTCCTCTCCAAGGAACAAGTGTGGGGATAATTTCAGCCAGTGGTTACACTTCAGTCACTTCTTTTGGGTGCTGGACGACTCAGCGTGGCCTGGCGTTTCTTACCCCAGCAGCTTGCCTCGCCTTCCCCTGGCAGGTTTTGGCCCCTAGTTTAATGGACGCCCGTTCTGAGAGGGAAACAGATCGGACCTGGAGGCAGATCCCTGCCTGGTACTGGCACAGTTCTTTGCCAGTTGACTGGCTTTAGGCACATCACTAATCATCCCTCTTGCTTCAGAGCCTGTCTCTCAGAGGCCAGAATGAAGTGATGGGCATAAAAATTCTTATAACCTGCAGATGAAGCTATTTTATGCCAAGCCCATAGGACTTGCAAGAATGTACCAAGGTTATTGCCTCAAGTTTCTATGGCCCCAGGAATCCTCTACTTTCTGGAGTCCTTCATTTAATTAGATGCCCAGGCAGTGACCCCTGAGGGCCAAATGAGGTGCGTATGCAGGAGTCCTAGCAGTTGAGAGGAGGAACTTACTTTAGAGGGGCTTGGGGCTGGGGTGCTAGAAGAGGCTCCGTGAGAGAGGCACGTGGTGGACTTGGGCAGGGCTGGGAAGGAACGTGTCGTAGCAAGCAGAGCGGTGTGAGCGCGAGGCAGGTGGCTTGGAGGAGGGTGGCAATGGGGGGGGGTCATAACAAAAGGGCTAGAAGGTGGTTTGGGGTCAGGTTATGTTGGCCTAAGAAGTTTGGGTTTTTTCTGTAGGACGGAGGCCAGAGAATTAATGAAAGAGTTGGGAAGACTTTTAAGCCCTGGGAGGCTGAACGCTTTATTTTATTGGAAGAAAAACCGAACTCCAGTAGGGCCACGCTTTCCCCAAAGCCACACAGCCATCAGGAATGATGCTTGGACTTCCACCCCAGTCTCTTGACTCCCACCTCGTACGGTGTTCTTTCCGATGTGCCACCTGCTTCCACAATGAACATGGTGTTCCAGGAAAATCAGTCTGCTCTGAGCAAGATGGAATAGGGGCAGGATATCCAGTTAGGAAGATACGCAAGCAGTAGGACAGCTGATGGCCAGTGACCACCCTAACTTAAAAGATCAACTCGAGGGTGGACTAGATCCTTGTAGAAGCTCCTGCGACAGTGGAGGCACACGCTGGGCTGGCCTGAACCCTTCAACAGAATGTGGGGGACTAAGCACCTCCTGTAGAAAATTACCTCATCACCAGCCCACTGTGGTGGCTGAAATGCCACATTTAGCCCCAGCAGAAGATGGGTGCGTCACCGGGAGGCCTTCACAGCCCTTTTGCCACCAGAGCACAGAACTCTTTTGGCCCTGGGGCCCAGAGGGGCTGAAGGTGGCTAGGGTGGAGAAAAGACTGGAACCCTTGGAGAAGAGTTGCAATTTTTTCAGAGCCACCAACTGCCCCTGCCCAAAAAAACACCCCAAAATAGAAAAACCCCAACTATGGTAACCAGGCAGCTACTGAGACATGAAGCCTCCTCTTCCTGCTGACCCCAGGGGCCTCTGGAAGCTGGAGCAGCCAGTGTTGATCTTAGATAACACCACCAGCAAGTAAACACCCACGGCTGGCTGTGTTATCTTTGGGGAACAGAAATGTCACCTGGGATTTGGAAAACGCCCTAACCACATACCACAGAGTCAGAGAAGGAAGATCTGATGGGCGGAAGGACCGTTGAGGGAGGAGGCACCAGAAAGTACCTCCCTGCCCACTCAGTTGTGGAAGGGGGCCGGGTGCGGGTTGGGAGACACAAGCAAATCCGAAGCAAGAAGAGTTTAGAGGAAGACCAGTGACGGGGAAAGGACTGGCTTATTGGCCTCCTCATCCCTTTCACTTCTCGATGAGACCAAGACCAGTTTGGAACTCCTTGAGGGTGGGGGATGAAGCTCTGTTCTTCCCCCTTCTTGGGACTTATTTGGGGCTCAGTAAGCAGGTCTCCCCATTGCTTGTTGGCCAGCTGACTTCCTTCTAGTTGCTGGTCTCTTAAGGGCCTGCCTCAGTGAATGGAAAAGAATGACTCATTAGTGAATTAATTGATGTATGTAAATGGTATCTGAGAACAAATTAGCTTTATACACTTTTCATTGTAATTTCATCTGTACTGATAATTTGTTGGTTTAGCAAGCACTTTTTTCATCAATTTGGCTGAACTTCAGTCTGAGGAAGATTCTGGGGTTATAGAAAGAGGATTTATTCTTTCTTTGAGAGAGGGCTTTTTAGTGGGGTTTCTTTTTTCTCCTAGTTTTGGCTTCGGTAGCTTCCAGATCAGCATTTTTGAGTAGAAATGTACAAGCATACCTTGTAGATGTTATGGGTTCAATTCCAGACACCACGATAGAACAAATATTGCAATAAAGTGAGTCATGAATTTTTTTGGTTTCCCAGTGTAGATAAAAGTTATGTTTATATTATACTGTGGTCTACTGAGTGTGCAATAGCATTTTGTTTTTTAAAAAACAGATACCTTTAATTTTAAAATTACTTTATTGCTAAAAAATGCTAATGATCATCTGAGCCTTCAGTGAATCATAATATTTTTTGGGGGTGCAGGGCCTTTCCTCAATGTTGATGGCTGCTGACTAATCAGGGTGGTGGATGCTGAAGGTTGGGGTGGCTGCAGCAATTTCTTAAAATAGGACACTACTGCTAGATATGCAGGTTCAAAAGGAAAATAAAAAAAATGAAGTTTGCCACGTCAGTTGACTTCCTTTCATGAAAGATTTCTCTGTAGCATGCAATGTTGTTTGATTGCATTATACCCACAGTAGAATTCCTTTCGAAATGGGAGTCAGCTTCCTTTCATGAAAGATTTCTCTGTAGCATGCAATGCTATTTGATTGCATTGTACTTACAGTAGAATTTCTTTCGAAATGGGAGTCAGTCCTCTCAAACCCTGCCACTGCTGAATCAGCTAGGTTTATGGAATATTCTAAATCCTTTGCTGTCATTTCAACAATATTCGCAGCACCTTCACCAGGAGTAGGTTTCATCTCAAGAAACCACTTTCTTTGTTCATCCATAAGAAGCAACTCCTCATCCGTTAAAGTTTTATCATGAGATTGCAGCAATTCAGGCACATGTTCGGGTTCCACTTCCTATTCTAGTTCTCTTGCTGTTTGTACCACATCTGCAGGCAGTTCTTCTACTGAAGTTTTGAAGTCCTCTAAGTCATCCATGAGGGTTGGAATCAACTGCTCCCAAATTACTGCTGATGTTGGTATTTTCACTTCCTCTCATGAATCACCAATGTTCTTAATGGCATATAGAATGGTGAATCCTTTCCAGAAGGTTTTTGATTACTTTGCCCAGATCCATCAGAGGAATCACTATCTATGGCAGTTATAAATGAAAAGTATTTCTGAAATATGACTTGAAAGTCAAAATTATTCTTTGATCTGTTGGCTGCAGAATGGATGTTGTGTCAGCAGGCATGAAAACAACATTAATCTGCTTGTGCATCTCCATCAGAGCTCTCGAATAGGTGACTAGGTGCACCGTCAATGAGCCAGTTACATTTGGAAAGGATCCTTTTTTTCTGAAGAGTAGGTCTCCAAAGTGGGTTTAAAATATTCAGTAAACCATGTTGTAAACAGATGTGCTGTCATCCAGGCTTTGTTGTTCCGTTTATAGAACACAGAGTAGATTTAGCATAATATCAAAGGGCCCTAGATTTTCAGAATGGTAAACAAGCATTGGCTTCAATGTAAAGTCACCAGCTGCATTAACTCCTAACAAGAGAGTCAGCCTGACCTTTGAAACTCTGAAGCCAGGCATTGATTTCTCCTCTTTAGCTATGGAAGTCCTAGATGGCATCTCCTTTCCATAGAAGGCTGTTTCATCTACATTGAGAATCTATTTAGTGTGTAGCCACCTCCATCAGTGTTCTTAGCTAGCTCTTCTGGATAACTTCCTGCACCTGTTCCATCAGTACTTGTTGCTTCACCTTGCATGTTTACGGTATGGAGATGGCTTCTTTCCTTAAACCTCATGAATCAACCTCTGCTAGCTGTAAACGTTTTTCTGCAGCTTCCATATCTTTCTTAGCCTTCATGGAATTGAAGAGTGAAGGCCTTGCTCTGGTTTTGGCTTAAGGGAATGCTGTGGCTAGTTTGATCTTCTATCCAGACCACTCGGACTTACCCCACGTCAGCAATAAGGCTGTTTCACTTTCTTGCAATTCATATATACTTCACTTTAAGAACTTTTTCTTTGCATTTACAATTTGGCTGTTTGGCACAAGAGGCCTAGCTTTTGGCCTATCTAGGCTCTCGACATGCCATCTTCACTAAGCTTAATCATTTCTAGCTTTTGATTTAAAAAGAGAGATGTGCAACTCTTACTTTGATTTGAACAGAGGCCATTGTAGGGCTATTAATTGGCTAATTTCAATATTGTGTCTCAGGGAATAGGGAGGCCCGAGGAGAAGGAGAGAGATGGGGGAACACCTGGTTGGTGGAGCAGTCAGAGCACATATATTTATTGACTACGTTTGCCATCTCATAGTGACACGGTTTGTAGTGCCCCAAAACCATTACAATAGTGACGTCAAAGATCATTGATCACAGATCA